TGGCACTGGATGGGCACTTGCAGGGGGTGGTATTTGAGTCTTGAATGACTGGCAGAGTTACAGAACTGAGGGGGTCAGCTGGAACAAGAATTGACCCAGCCTGAGAGAGAGTCCCCATCAAGTCTCAGAAAAATGGACAGGGTAGCTTGCTTCCCTCTGGATCTGGATCACGTGTGAGAGAGATGGGGTGGGCAAGAACCAGCTTGACCCCAGGTTGGGAATCATTACTTGAGAAGATTTGGGGTGTGCTAGGGGTAGGGGGACACCAACACACCTTGAGTGGCGGGGAAGCCAGTGACTTAGGCTGCTTGTGAGTGATAGGACCGTGGAGTGTAGTGAGCTGTGCCCAGGCCAGGAGAGGTGGCCTTTCTGAATGTCTGAGAATCGCCCCCTCCCTGATGACCATTTGGGACCAGTCCTGAGACTATGCTTTCCTACTTTCCCTGGCTCAGGCTTCCCTTGGATATGTAGAACTGGATGGGGCAAACTGGGGTGCACCTCCTAAACCTCTGCACTTGGTCCCATTAGCTTATGCCCACAGCTCTGATTCCACCTCTAACACTTTTCCATCTGGGAAGGGTTGCTGAGCTGCTCAGACCAAGAGGCTGTGGTCAGGGAAGAGAGTGAGGCAGAGTTGGCCTCCAAAACAAGTGTCCCGTTGGCCTAGCCCTAGGAGAACAAATGCCTTTAGAGGCTTTGCCTCATGGGGATTGTTACCTACCATGATCTTGTCCGCTGCTGGCTCCCTGAGAATTCAAGGAAACGAAGGCCCTGGCTTGGCCCTACTGTGGCCAGATAGCCAGGGGCTGGTCCCCCAAGATGTCCCCATTGGGAAGATCCCCTCTGGTCTCACACTCCTGGCCTTTGCTGCTCCCTCCTCTGGCAGCCAGCAGAGCGACCTTGCTCACTCTCTGGGGGAAGTGTGGGCAGTGCTCTTGTCTCTCCAGCTCTGTCATTCCATCCTCAGATCCAGTAAGTAGGGGGGTGGCAGGGCCCCTTCTATCCACTCCCCCCCCCCACACCACCTGCCCAGCTTCAAGGTCTCTGGCTCTCCTTGTACCCTGGGTCATCTCCAATAATCACACTTGTAGCTGTATTCAAGAGCCAGGATTCTGTCTCCACCTGTTCTCCACCCCCCCCCCCCACCTTCCTCCCCAAGTCAGCTCACCCCAGGAAACTGACCACACCAACATCTCAGCTCTGGCCTGAATCGGTACTGTTGGCAACTCTGGGTAAAGCTGTCCTGGGAACCCTATCTTAGGGGAGTTTGTCAAGAGACTCTATGGAAGGATGAAGTACCTTTCCCTCCATGTGGATCTCTGGGTCTAGGGGTCAGTAGCTTGGATACCCAGGCTCTCCTTCTTTGGATGCCCTGCCTCCTGAGCAGTGGAAGCAGCCCTAGCATGTCCTTGACCAGTAATCAAGACCTCTCCAGGGACCGGCACTTGTAAAGGGTCACAGTCCCATGGACAGCGCCTGCTGCTACCAGCAGCCTCGCAGCCACAGCCCAGCCAGAGGCAGGGTTCTGAGCCCTGGACTCCAGGTCTGGTCACATTCAAACCCTCACAGGCAGCCCAGCTCCAGCCCGCCCAGTTGGGTCTCCCTCCGGGCAGGGCCACCTGCAGAAGCCAGGCACGGGGCAGGGACAGAGCTGGCCAGCTCCCAAACCAGTTTTGCCCCCCTTTCCTCCCCTGCATGCAGCCAACGGGCTACCCCTCTCTGCCCTGGCTCCTCCTGACCGCAGGGCATCTGAGGCTGGCACTCTGACTGCTGCTCCCACTGCCCTGGGCAAAGCAGCGGTCGTGGGTAGTGGCTGGACTGCCCACTCTACCCATCTGCCCACCCCCAGAGCTCCCAGTCCGATGCCGGCTCACCTCGGCGGTGCGGTCTTCTCACCAGAGGCACTGCAGTGTGGGAACTGTCCCGAGGAGCCGGTTCTCAGCTGAAACAAAGAGGTGGGGGAGAAAGAGGGGGGCAGCGGGAGAGGGAGAGGGTAAGCAGCGAGCAGGCGAAGGAGTGGAGGCTGGAGGGGGAAGAGAAGGGAGAGGATGAGAGAGAAGAGGGGAGGGGAGGAGAACGCGCCCTGAGATAAAGCCTGACATCCCGGCACCGAAGGGCCAGGGAAAGAGGGAAGAGGAAATGGGGAGGGGGAGGAGGTGAGGGGCCAGACTGGGAGAGGAGAGAGACTGTGGAGGGGGCGGGACCGGGACTGGAGAGGCAGCCGGGGTGAGAGGCATGGCTGCAGGGAGCAGGCAGCCGGCGGAGGGGCCCCACCCCGTCCCATGCCAGTTTCTGGTCTCGGGGAAACCAAGAGGACTCGAGTGGGCAAAAAGCCACCAAGGGCAATGGGAGGGAGAGGTGAGCAGTCAGGTGAGGGGCCAGGGACGAAGGCCGAGAAGAACAAAGGTGTCCGAACGAAGATGTCCGAGTGGAAAGTCTGGCCCCTGCTGACCTCTGCAGTCCAGTCGGAAGAGTCCTGGGCAGTCTTCTGAATGGGGGGCAGGTCCAGACTCTGTGAAATAGCAACCTGAGATCAAGGGGGAGGGCTGAGAGTGGGCGGGGTGGGGTGGGGGGTCCTCTTCATTCGGAGAGAACACACAATACAGTGATTGACCACACATCTGGAAGCTGGTGTCACTGTGGGGGATGGGATGGTTAGATGGGGTCGGGAGCCAGGCTGGGGACCTGGTGCTGAAAGAGCATTTAGGACCCTCAAGGAGGCTGCAATGGGGAAGGGGAAGAGAGGATGAAGGGAGTGGCGAAGGAGGGGGATAGGAAGTGGTAAGGAGCCTGGAGTGGGGGTGGTGTGGCCAGAGCTGAGCCTCCTTAACTAGCCCACCTAAGCAGAGGCTTCCCGCTTCACACCCCGCAGTTCTTGGGCTGCCTAATGGAGACCTAATGAAGAATGAATCCCCGGGCTTCCCAGCGCTGCTGTGACAGGCAAGGGCACTAGGGAAGTCAGCTGGGGCTACTGAAACAGGAGTCTGTTAGTGCTTTGGGGGGGTGTGGGGGGAGCAGGAGAGGTTGATGGCTTTGACCAGAGCCAACCCATCCCTTTCTCACCCTGGGGTACACTGTCCTGTGCTGGTCTAGTCTCGTCCCTCTCTCAGCAGCCCAGAAGGCCCAAGACATTCTGCCCTCCTAGACTCTCCTAGCTCTTCTGTCCAAGTCCCCTTTCTTGTCCCACTGGACATTCTTCATAGAAATTCCAGCGTACCAGCATTGTTTGGGGAACAGGAGAGGGAGAGGGACCCGTGGGCTTACCTAAAGCTGTGACGGGGAGAGGGAGTCAGCGCTGGTCCCCCCCTGCGTGAAGGGACAGAGCTAGATCCCCCTTAAACTCTGCCTAACCCATTTCCCTACCAGCCCCTTGGGGAAGCCCTTCTGGCCACCTCAACCCAGCTGCCACCTGTTCAGCTTTCTCTAGGAGTCAGGAGCCCCACGACAGGAAAGGACACCCCCCACTCTGTCTTTCCTTATCCCTTCCCTTTCTTCCCTCCCTCCTCCATCTCCCTCCAGCTCTCTCTCCTTTCCTTCTACCTTTTATTTAGAAGACATTTCAAATTTATAGACACATTGTCGGAATAGTATAAGGCATGGATATACTCTTCTATTGTGGATATTTGTCGTGTGTGTGTGTGTGTGTGTGTGTGTGTTCACACACATAATTTTTTTCCTGACCTATTTGAGAGTAAATTGTAGACGTCACAGCTGAAAAGATGATTTCTTACATCTCTGCCTCCTGCACCAGCCAAGGGAAGCCCACACCATGTAGCGTGGAATAAAGGGAGGTCTGGCCCCGGCCGTGACTGAGAGCACATCCATTGGGAGCCTGAGGGCTGGGGAACAAAGGGTTTGGCCAGGGTCACTTTGGTTGTTGGACTGGGCCCCACACCCCCCTTACTTTTTCTCCTCTCCAGTTTGGGAGGCAGGGAGCCATTGCCCACCCGGGGAGCAGGTGGTGTTTGCTGGGTGTGGAGCTGCAGCATATGTCTGTGAAGACTGTGGCAGCAGGCGGGGGTGGAGCTGGGAGAGCAGGGATAGCCGGGCTGTGGCACCTGGGTACACTTGGGAGACGGCACTGCCTGGTCCTGAGTGGGTGTGAAAGGACCCAGATGCTGGAGGCACCAGCCCCAGTGCCCTGGCCTGGAACTCTTGCCTTTGGGGCCCTTCCCGTGGCCTCGTGGCCATTTAACAGCTGGTCCATGTGAATTAGCTTAGATAGGGCACAAGGGTGATTCTTTTACTCTGGGACTTACAGCATGGCCCCTGACACAGACTGGCATTCCTTCTATATCCCTCTGTGCCCCCACATGGGTTGGAGTCCCATTTGCATGTGAAGGCAGCCCGTGAGGCCACCTTCTCGCATTCCTCCAGAGGTTATGGTTTAGAAGTCTGGCATTTAGAAGATCACACCTTAAAGATGATTTGAACTCTGAAGCCCTGATTTTTCTCCCTTTCTTTCTTC